GGACAATCTTAATTTAATCGCGTTGCAATTTAATAGTCATAATTAAGATTTAATTAGACATAATACCCAATTATCTCGAACAATGTTAATTTAATCTTATTGCATTTTTAATTGTCATAATTAAGATTTCATGAGATATAATACCCAAGTATCTCGGACAATCTTAATTTAATTGTTTTGCATTTTAATCTAGTGAACAATAATTTTTTCCCGCGGTTTACACTCCAACTATGTACATAATTAACCACATATGACAAAGTTGAGAGTATAAGATATAAAACATGGTATAGGGAGAGTACAACATGCCACAATATTCAACCAATAGTGAAATAATTTTCACAAAAATTTCCCAAAATTTTCCAAGCAATATTCCTCATAAAAAAATATTAAATATACCAACCATTACAAATAAACAATTTATTTAATATTTTTCCACAATCCAAAAAAATAATTAAATTGCTCCAATAATTCTAAATTAATATTAGAAAAATTCTTAAAAATTTATCGCTCAAAAAACAGCCCTGCAGGCACATCAAGCTCCCACAAGTGCCACCATGCGCATGTGGGGTTCGGCTGGAACGTCCAGCCGGGTCTACAGGTTAGTGGACTCGGGTCTAGGCCTGTTTGACTTGGTTTTGACCTGGTTTGACCATATTTGACTCGGTTCAATCATGTTTGACTTGCTTTGACCAGGTCGGGTTGACCATGTTGAGCGGATTGACTTGGCCCACTTTTACAAGGTCGGGTTTGCCCATTTTATGCCATTTGGCACAATTTCAACCTTTTTTGGTAATGATATCCCGTAACCCCCTCATTTTTGGTAATTTTTAGCACCTAAAAATTAAAATATGACAATTACACCCCTATGATCTAGAAAATCCAGATCGCGATTCTGCGAACCCAACAGCCAAAATTCAGTCGCTCCTCTTCTCAAACGGCTGGAAAAGTATCCTTAATGGCAGGAAAAGCCTATTATGGGTTCAATTGCGTGAGCCATGTGCTCACACGACGGCGGCCGAAGCCATGCCGCAGCATGGAATGGTGTCGTGAGCGCAGCATGAAGAGAATCACCGCCACCAACAGCGAAACAGGTCTGATAAGGTCGAAAAACAACAAAATTGAACACTAGAACTTTCAATTTTGCAATAATGGTTTTCAATTCAAAAACCCCAAAATAATGGTTTTCAATTCAAAAACCCCAAATTGGAATTTATGGATTTTAAAACAAAATCCCCAATTTTAACAAGATCCCTAATTTCCAATGTGAACCCTAATATTTGAAATTGAAAAAACATGATCTTATTCTTATTTGAGGGGAGAACATCAGGGCATAATCTTCCTTATCAGGTTGCCTCTGAAGAATAGTTAGCCGCCATTCCTGCTAAACGCAACATAGTCTTTCATAGACCTAGCAAACGGGCGGGTGTACCCGCGGGTCAACGGGTATCCGTATCCAACGGGCGGATACGGGTAACACATACTTCGACTTGTGAGAATCTGACCCGTATCCGGCCCGCCCGTGACTTTTGTGGATGGATCAGGTACTACCCGCATACCCGCAAATTTGAAATTTAAAATAAAAAAAAAAAAAAAAGTCTTACTCTCAAACGTCAAACTCTAATCTAAACCAAAACTTATCAGTGAAAAAAACAAAAAAGTTAAAAAACGCAGCAGCTCATTCTCTTCTCTCACAGGCCACAGCAGCTTCACGACCACTCCTCAATCCTCTCACAGCAGCTCCACTCTCTCACTCTCTCACTCTCACAGCAGCTCCACTCTCCCTCATTCTCTGACTTTTGTCACGACAGCACCAGCACGGCAGCAGCAGATCTCCTCTCATGGCAGCACGACAGCAGCAGGGCAGCAGTCAGCATTAGGAAAAATATAAATAAGCCAAATTGATATTTTCTTAGTAATTCAATAAAAAAAATTATAAAGAATGGTTTAGTTTAATATTTCATAAAAATATGGTCAACCTTTAAAAAACAAATTGGTTAGATAAAGAAGTTGATCAACATGGATAACGTTTAATACTTTATAAAAATTATAATTTTTATTTTTTACTATCATAATATTTAATTTATTATGTTGAAATTTTAAGTTTTACACACTAAATTGTTTTATGTTACAAATTTAAAGTTAAGTGCAACATTATATTACAATGTTTGGAATCCTGAAAAAAAATATATATATTTTCACATTGATATAAATTATTTATTTATTTTTCAATCAGATAATAGCTGTTACTGTAATTTAAATATAATATTAACCGTTATAAACCATAATATTGTACATATTATGTTTATATATTTCGATTTGCATCACATATAATATTGCTTTAAAATAAATAGCATGGGTTAAACAATTCTAATATAAAAAAGGGGTAGAAATAATTGTTTTTAATTTTAGTAAAATAACTTTTAAGTCAATAAATTATATCATTTCATAAATTACATTTTCTATTATAAATTTATATAAAATAGAATTCTAGTTTGGAGAAGGTGGTGGATTTGACAGGTTTCACTTTCAACTATTTTCGTAGGCCAAACGCAAGGGCAAGGCAGGTGGCAGTCAACAGCGTGTCAACTTGGACAGAGATGTTGCCACGTCAGAATATGGTAAATTATTGTGATATTTTATGACGTGGCAAGATCTGGATGGAGTATGTTTTGCTCTAACTGTGTTGGTAATGGTGAGCATTAATTAAAGCGTAGGTGAAAACATTGAATTGTTTCATAGTTCATGCAAGTTGTGTGGCTGTAAAGCTGAAAGTTGCAGGCGTAGGTGAAAATATGAAAAATGTAAAAGGCTGCTTCCATTTTCACGGGTGATCTGTAGGTGACCCGTATCCGTATGAGATGGGTACGGATCATAAAAATATCGATCTGTGAGAATTTTTCACCCGTTTCACCCGTGACCCATTATTATCAGGACCATACCTGTCTAACCCGCCCGTTTGCCAAGCCTAGTACTCTTTCATCATCTTAATTATGGTAAATATCATTAAGATCCATAAGAATTAAGAATCCTAAAAGTAGAAGGTTTATGGTATTAAATAAAATATTGAGGGCTTACAAAAATTAACCAAAATGTACAACATGTCTCATATGAAGATGACACATCGTTCAATAATGGAATGACGTCATTATAAGGTAAACGTTTAATCTAACGACATGTCAATGGAAACGGAATTTACAATGGAAAACAATCAATCATTGTAGAGTATCACTACCAATGACATATCATTCATATACTTTAAAAACATCTCTGGCAATAAATAATTTAGGTCCATAAGAATCATAAAAGGAGAGGGTTATATGATATACAAATAAATATAGAGCTGTTAAATAATATTAGCTAAATTGGTGTCACCACATCGTTTCATCTAAAGCAAAACATTGTCATTCCAGTAAAAGGATATCATTTAAGCCTTCAGTTAAACGACATTGTTTTCTAAACCTAAACAATATCATCAATGTCCAAGACGGCATCATTACTTTTTAGCGAAAATAATGTCGTTATTTGATTTAAGACACAATCGGTTACGGGTGAAACGACAAGTCAAATGTTGAATGACATATAACCCCCTATACCTTTACAAATATCATAAAAGACCCTATATTTAGGATTGTTAATTTCTTATGGATCGAATTGATATTTACCATAAAGAATTTACATGGTGCAATAGGCTCCGCCCACGCCGAAAATTTGTTATGTGGAGAAGCAGAGTGAGTTAATGAAGTATATCATCTCAATTTCTACCTGCTCTTCTTTACCAACACGAGAACTGAACTGTTATCCACATTAATGCCACCAATTACGTCATTCACATCGTTGTCTATGAGCATTTCCTTTAATATGATAATGGTTGTCCCCTTTTTACCGGAAATATTAATGACAACAACACCAAGAAAGAGACATATTGATATATGTCAGATCTAGACACATGATAGATAGGTTCCTAAAAGTATTGTTTACATTGGATTCTAAGAATTGCACGGTTTATTTGAAATAGACACCTCTAGGTGTTGAGAGTATCATTATGTTATATAAGCGATCAAGACCCTCATCTCCTAATCAATGTGAGACTTTGACACTAACACTGTGAGGGTGTCTTTGTGCTATATAACAACCAGGGCTCTTGTCCCCTAACCGATATGGGAATTTAGTACCAACATAGCCCCTCAGGGGGTGAAGGACTCAGAGTGGCCTAGGCCCTCATTCTAGCACCTAATGTTGATGTATGCCAAATCCAGAAAAATGGTAGGTAGATTCTCAGAGGTATTGTCCGTTTTGGACTCTGAGGCCTGAACAATTTTGTCTTAAAAAAATGCCTCTAGGCGGTGAGGGTGTTCGTGTACTATATACCAAGGTCTTCGTCTCCTAACCGACGTAGAACTTTGGCACCAATAAGAAGATACGGAGAATATTCATTATTTGCACAAACACCAGAGAAACTCATCTTTTATCTTGTTTTTACTTTTACAGGTAAATGAATGTTGTATCTTTTCGGTCCAACATGCATGGTTTTGCCTTGCTTTAATTCATATTTCGTCATAGTCAAGCTTATTATTTTAGACAAAACAAAAATTTTAGTTAATAAAATCTTAAACTTTATTTAATATACGTTAACTACAGTTTGATTATGAAAGAAAAGTGCTATAGCTAGATAAAACAAGGTTTTCATGGAAAGCTATGTGCTGTTGAGCTATTAGGGTATAATTAACGATCAAACTCTATTTAATTAGTTGATTAAATACCTAAATTTTCTTGCTTTCTTCCTCTCCTTCTCTTCTCTCCAACAGCACCCTCCATTCTCAAAAGAAGGAATTGCATTTCAAACCAAGAAGCTTCTGCGATTTTGCCCAACAGCTTCAGGTTGAGTGCAATTAAGAATTAACAAAGACATATTATTACATTCATTATCATCTTCAATAATTTTGTCGTATAAAATTATTTTCTCTATTTTAATTACAACATTTATACTTAATCATCTAAGCTCATGGAACATTAGAAGGACTTTCAATATCACTAATTTTTCTGCAGAACCACTTCTTCTGCTGTCCCCAAGGTGCAATTACAGCCGACATAAGTCTCCAAATGATTTGGTTTCCGAAAATTGGTTCCTCAAGTTTCGAATACAAATGAGCAACATAAACTGCAAGAGCAACTGTTGATGTGAATCCTGTTAACGTGAAGAGTACCCAATAACTAGTCACACTAATACTGGAAAAATCTTCTTCTGATTCCATCTCCTCACAATTCTGAGTTGCAAGCATCTTCTTCTCCAATTCTCGTGCCTTCCCACTTTCGGATACTTTCAGAAGCGCTTTGTTCATCTCAGGAACCAATGGAGAACCCTTAGGAAAAGCCTGTGAAACCATGTAGAAGTTTCATTAATCATATATAATAAACTAATTTGATTACCATTTATCAGAAATTGAAAGAGGAATTAACTTACGAATCCGAATCCTCCAGTTTTGTAGGTCGGTCCAGCTGCAATAAACTCCTTGGAGTACTTTGCAGTAAATATTTTGGCTATGGGAACATCAAGAAAGATGGCTTCTATTTCTTTGCTTCTAAGTGCCTGAACATAGTCTTCCGAGAAAGAATAATACTTTTTTAAGTTATTGGGGTTGAATTTTAGAACTTGGACCAGATATGTTTCAAGGCAAGATACCCTGCAATATCCGATCATTGCATTACTTCTCTGCAGTGACTCAATATCTGTAGCAGTGGGTTCAAGCCTCTGCACTGTGAGTATGCTGGTGAGATTAGCTGTGTAAGTTTGCGTGATGACTAGTGCCACAAACAACCAAACCACCATCGCCATCCTGGATAGACTGCTGTGTAATTTTTCAGCTTCAAAACAAGACAGGAATTACAAGTAATTAGAAACAATCTTGAAATTCTTTTTATTGGAATTCAAATTGAGGGAAGATCGATTGTGTTACCATGTAAAGAGAAGAGTGTTGAGAAGGACAACCAAATCAAGGTGGTGATTTGATTGAGAACTGAACCTTTTAGTTCGGAGCAATGATTCCGCTCAATTAACCACACCACAAACCCATTGTAAAGAGTTATAGCTACTGTGAAACCCCACATCGCTTTTGTAAAAGGCTTCATGAATAGCCATGCTTTACTGCTGGCTCGTGATCGCACCGGAACCACCATCACCAATCCTGGCACCGTGTAGGGATGTGTGAATTCTGCATACTGGAGTCGGCTGGACAGAATTGTTACATCACCAACTACAGCATCCAATGTCTACACACAGAAAATTGGATTTTAATTTTCTCCTTCTATCCGGAAACATAAAACTGAAAAACAAGATTTTAAATTTGTAAAGACCTCACCTGATCATGAATTTGCTGCACTAAAGCATCATAGTTGCCGTCAATGGGGATAAATTTGTAAGCAAGGTGATATCGTAAATTGCTAACTGTTTCTTCGAAGAGATCAATAGCATATCCTCCAAATGTGTAATTGTTCTCTTCAGGATTCCGGACCACGGTCAAAAATTCCTTGAAAGTTGTTCCATTGGGCACACCGATTCTCAGAGACTTTGCGTTGGTTGGAATAGCCCATCCTCTTGGAGTTGACCTAGGTTCGCCTGGCCAAATCACACGTTTCAAACTCTTCATTGAATGATTAAATGTAGCTCTTTCATCTAATGTCCGAGAGAATCCGTTGTCTGACTCTGACCAGAAACCAAGTGTTCTGTAACTCTTTCCAAGCACATTGATGATCCGAAATATTTTCCCTGGAGCTAATTTTTTCTCTTCGAATTGAATCAGTCCACTTAATCCATTGAATTTACTATACAGAATTGTATCCAACAATTTTTGTCCCCCGGCCTTGCTGTTCTTAAACATTGCTTGACACACTGTCCATACAGCATCATATGCCTGTACTGCATAAATACCAGCTTCGCGTCTGTCCTCTTCTGGATACTCCGAGCTAAACCTTGTGCGGAATCTCATATGAAACTCCTTATGGAGATCATTATTACTGGGGAAGTAGCTCTGGACTCCTATAATTCCTTGCATTGAGGAAATGCTTGTGGCATTAATAGAATCGACAAGGCTTGTAAAGGCGTCTGTAGCGATCCATACGTAATCCTTTTCCATCATCTCCATCTCCTTGGCCTTTTCGAATAGACGTGTGGCTGATGGAAATGATAAATCAACTACAATGACTCTACATTGCCCTCTTTTGATCATCTCAAGCTGTTCAGACAATGAAGAAGAATCAAGAGGTGGGAAAGCTACAAGATTTGTGATTTCAACATCTGCTTCTCGGAAGGCGTCATAGAGATGAGGCACCACTACTGCAGCGGTTGAAGATAATCCAGTTTCTTCATATATAACAGTGACCTGATGCCATTCCCATGACTGAACAATGGCTGCTATGGCTTTCGTTTGTTTGCACTGGCTAGGCGCGGCTTGAACAAGAAAGGGCCATCGCTCTGATGCCCACCGTGGACTTGATTCAGCTAAAGAAAGAATCGGAATATGAGCTTGGCTACCAATATTTGCAACCATTACTGTTTCTTCCCAAGTGTGTGGTCCTAGTATGGCCTGAACTTCTTGTGTATCAATTAGATTTTTGGCTGCAATTAAAGTAATTATATCTAAGTTAGTAACAATCTAAATGATAAGTTATTAGTAGAGGACAGGAGTTTAATCATATCACAAGCACCTGCAAAAGCGGCTTGAACGGGATCGTTTTGAGAATTTACTATGTGGACATGAAAACGTTGATTCGTCTTCTCATAGAAATCCTTGATAGCCATCTCCATGGCTATTTTTGCTTCTTTACCAATGCGAGAATCCTGATCGACAATTGCACCTACAACGCCAGCAACTGGGCCCTTCTCCGTTGCGCTTCCATTAGCTGTTGCTTCTACTGAAAGCAACAAAAGTAAGGGAAATAAAAACAAGAGAAGAGAACAAGTGACCATTGTAAATGCATAGAAGTTTATTAAAGCAATCAATTCTTCCTCGCTTTATAGTTGTAGTTGGGTGTTTGTCAAAGCTCATCAGAGACCTGGACTAAAGAGGGTTGGATTTAGACTAATCAGAGTCATGCAGCAAATAATGCCGTTTCTTTCTTTCGTATCCATGCAATTTCCGAAGGGTGGACTTTGAAAGATTTGCTGAAATTATATTCCAACAAAGAACTAATTAATAATTAATATTCTGTCAATCCTTAGCTAGCGAAACTGATGATTGTTCCTTTCAATTTCATCCATAGGCAAGTATCCAAAATATAGAGATCAGAAAAATTCAAAATTAATTTACACAAGATTCAGCCATTCAGCGGATTTATTCAAACTAGGAGAAACGACAAATTTTATACACGACAATTGACCTTCTATTGTGCCCGTATTTTTGGTTCAGAAATTGAATTTTCTTCTTGTTTTAATTGGTCTCAGAATCTAGAAAGACTTGGTCTCAGAATCTAGAAAGACTTGGTCATTGCTTCAATGAAGAGAATTTTATACTTAAAATAAATGTATAATTTATATTAAATAGCAAATTTTTAGATTATAATCATCATAATCAAGACAGTGACGAACCAGAAAAATTGATGAGTGGAAGCAACTCTAAATAAATCTTCGAAATATGAGTAAGAATATAATATTATTCAATGATTCGGTTTTTAAGATTGTTGAATTTGAAGAAAATATATGCTGATCAATTAATTCGAAAGAGCAAACGTAGACTTGTTCAAGCAAACAGACCTACATATCCACATGTTCTCATGCATGAAATAGAAATAGAAAGCCTAGACTTGTTCAGAGTAGTCTGTAGACGAAGAATATGCCTTAATTAAGGTGGTGAAAATTATTGAGGAGCAAGAAGTGACGGACCAATCTTTTACTCTAGACAATTATTGAAAATAAGTAAATATCAAATTAAGTTCTTCCTCTTTCCTAGTCCTTAAACACTTTGATCAATGAACAATAGTACTGAAATATTATAAAAGAAAAATTACAGGAAATAGAGACGTTAACTGTAACATAATTAATAGTACCACAAGGAGGGACATGAAGTGTTGAAAAGTTTTTAGTATAACTATCTTTGGGTGATCGAGTGATTCAATAAAAACTCTTGTGTGTATTACTCAAAAAAACATAAATTTAAATATTTCATCAGATGCTAATAAGGGCAACTAATGTAGTTTTTATTGGACCGATTAAAGTTTTTAGTAATTAGCTAAAGTACGCGTAAAACCACTAAAATTCTTATACGACCGATAAGATCTCAGTCATAAAAAATAAAAAAAAAATTGTGCTGAAAAGTTTTCTAATTAAGAAAAATTAAAATGAATGAATGTCGAAAAACGAAAACGAATAAAATAAAAGTGCGCACCCACTCCTTGTGCCAGCTGAGCTAAGCCATAATACGTCAATTCTTTTCAATAATCCCACATGGCCACATAATTTAAAATAATTTTGACAGCCCTTTCTGATATTTATTTTGATACATAAACATTAACCAAATGCACCGAATCTCATTTTATCAAATATAAAAAATCAACTAAAAATTACCAAACCCCACTTATCTTAGTCAAACAAGTAAGCATGACTTAAATAATCCTATATAATTGGCCCAAAACCTCAAATAATACTCAGAGACCATAATCATGAATATTTTCAAACCTGTGTATCTCATTTTTCTTCTTCTTTTTCTGACAGTTGTTGAGGTTGCAGGCCGACCGACGCCATACAGCTCTGCAGAACCGGTTTCAGATGGGATCAATGGTGCTGATGATCATGAAGTCACACACCAAGCTTCTTATTTACTTAATGTTAAAGGATTGGATTCTGATGAGAATCAGGAATGTGAGCAAATGTATGGTTTCTTGCCGTGTTCGAATAATATTTTCGGGCATCTTTTTCTGATATTGGTGTATGAATATCTACTGTTTCATGGAGAATCATATTTGGCTGCCGGAGGGGAGCAAATTTTTAAGATTCTTGGCCCTGGTGTGTTTGGTGCAAGCGCATTTCATGTCATCGGTGCCCTTCCCGAGGCCTTGTTACTTCTTGGTATGACATTTACAATTACTTAATTTCCTTCTTTCCATCAATATATATAAGCAACTATGACTCATATAGGACAATACTATTGGATAAACGCTCTACAAATTATATTCACCTCATTTATGATCTTGATCGTATGTACTTGGAGAATCTTGAATCGTTTATAAATGTTACTGAATATCAATTTAAGAGAGCATTGATGATAATTTAATTAAAATATTTGAGTGAAATTAGTCAGACAGACTATTGGCTTGTTGCAAAGTTAATATAATAATATCTAAATTTTGCTTGCACGTATCAATTACTTGCAACTAATTAATTAAGTATGATATTTAATGTTGCTAATTTCCTGCTAATCGGAAGAGTTTAAAAAAAAAAAAAAAAAACTAGAATTCTGATCCCCTAAAGTTTGAAAATCTGGTGACACATATATGCATTTTAACTCTGTATTATTAATATCTCTTTGATCTTTTCATTGAAGTTTGTTAAGGGGAAAGTATAAGTATAGACATAAAAAATATATGTATTCAAATTCAATCAATATGCTTAGTTTCAGTATAAAAATTCTAAGGTTAAACCTATCTTGTGATAAGCACAAGAAAATTAGTAATACAAGAAACATTGTTAAATGTAAGTCAATGTTGCAGAGGTTCTACAAATTTGTCAAAACTGAGGATGCAAGCAACTTAATATCAGTGGACCATATAAATTATAATCTATTCAAAAGAATTTTAGAAATTTATCTTCTGAATTTTTTAACTGACTGATTATGACCTTTGATTAAATTTCAATCTAATTTGTTCTCATAAGCTTCTCTCTTTAAGATATGTATTTAATTATGTGGATCAACATTGTGTATATATCTAAGTTTTTCATTTTATTTTGCAATTGTGGAAATAATCTGTAGTTTTGTGTAGCTCTTACAATAATTTATCTTTTAATAAGCTCTTAAATAATCAAGCTAGACAAATAATATTAATACTATTTATGAGGTTGTAACTTTAGCATAATTTTATGAATTTTTTTTTACAGCGTCTGAACTCTTCAACAGTAAAGAGGTAGCTGAAGAATATGTTTACACTGGAGTTGGGCTGTTGGCTGGATCTTCAATTTTGCAGCTCACTGTAATTTGGGGAACTTGTGTATTACTTGGCAGTCAAGTCCTTCACAGTGGTAATTCAGAGACTAATTATACCCCTCTCTCTAATGGAACAACTTCTGAAAATTTTTCTTTTGACAGACTCTCGTCAAAATTCACTGGTAATTAATCTTCTCTCTTTTCCTTCGTTCATTCAAGTTATGAACTTCCACATCCATTTTCCAGTCTAAGAAAGAAAGACTAATGTTCAACAATTATAACTATGATATTATCGAACCTCTTGAAAGATAGTTTAATTTTAAGTGCAGCCACGATTTTTTTAAATATATTACATGACCCGCAATTTTTTTTTTTTTTTTTTTTTAATTTTGTCATTATTAAAATTGCAGGTTCTGGTATAACTACTGATATGGAGACCAGCTACATTGCGAGGATTATGTTTTCCTCGGTGACACCATTTCTGATCATTCAACTCCTGAAAGTCGTCTCATCATCTTCTGGGCAACAAGCAGTGATGTTGATTGCTCTTTCTGTTACTATTGTGTTCTTATTCTTGTACTTCTTCTATCAGGTACTAAACTCTTTACTCTCTTTTCGTTTTCAAAATTTTCTTAGGTTAAATTCTCTTCTCATGGTGTAATGTATTGGTCTCATAAAACTTTTGTAGTGACAAATCATCTGCAGATTTTCCAGCCCTGGATTCAACAAAGAAGATTGGAGTATGTGAAACATGAGCATTTAGTTTTAAGAATTTTAAGACATGTGCAAAAGCAGGCATTAGGACAAATCCTCACCGATGATGGCGCTCCGAACGTAGCTGCTATACGAAGGTAATTAAACCAGGATCCTCCCACAAATTTTTTTTTTTTTTTTTTTTTTTCTGAAGTTAATTCCTTGTGTAGCAAGTAACTAGAAGTTGCTGAAATGCAGGCTGTTTGAAGAAATAGATCATGATGGAGATGATATCATATCACCTTCAGAGCTAAGGGAGGTTCTTCTTGAAGTCAAGTTTAAAGGAATGCATATCGACAAGGAGAAAGCAGTGGCACAAGTAATCAAAGAATTTGACGTTGATGGAAATCAAAAAATAACCAAAGATGAGTTTGTAAATGGATTTACAAGATGGCTTGATGAGGCAAAGAATGCAATGGATAAGAATTATTATTCCCAGAAATCCTTAAGAGACATATACAAAGTAATAACATTAATCAGCTTATGATATAAATGGATATTTACTTCCATTAATTATCTTGAAGTACTTAATTTGTTCTTGAATGTTTGACAGGTTTTCCAGCCCTGGATTCAAAACAAAAGGAAAGAACGGGAAATGAAGAAAAATCTGATATCAGAATTGTTACAACATGTTGAAAACAATGCAATAGAAAGTCTACTTACAGAAGATGGCACGCCTGATGAATCTACAATTACAAGGTTAATTAGACTTATATTCAGCTTCAATTTTCTTATTCTTTTAATTAGACATAACAATTGTATATGCAAAATGAATGACAGGTTGTTTGAAAAAATTGATCATGACGGAAAAAACTTCATTTCTCAACACGAATTGAAAGAACTAATAGTCAATATCAAGTTTGGTGAAGCTCCTTTAAATGTGGATGAAGCTGTAGCCAAAGTTATTGAAGAACTTGACACAAGTAGGGACGGCGTGATACATGAGGAGGAATTCGTCTCAGGAATCGCAAAATTGTTCAAAGCTACCACCTCTCTTAATGAAGCTCCTTCAAAACCTGAGACTGAAGATGATATCTACCAAGTAAGTATCCATTCTTTGTCGCTCTCGAACCTCCACTAACTTGGAAGATCAATTACCAGAAAGATGATTAAAATGTTCGTGCAGAAAACTTGGGAAGAAACAGACAAGCTGGTGGATAATGAAAAGAAAAATGGAGAAGTTGAAGAGAAGTCAATATGGGCATGGTTTAAAGCTATAATGTACATGGTGATTGGAATTGTTATGTTATCAGTTCTGGCAGAGCCTCTAATTTACAGTGTTGAAAATTTCTCCAATTCTGCAAACATTCCATCCTTCTTCATCTCCTTCATTTTAGTCCCAATAGCCACCAATTGTAGAGCAGCAACTTCTGCAATCTCCGCCGCATATCGCAAGAAACCAAGGACTACTTCCTTGGCATTCTCCGAGGTTTGTGTTATGCCCTTCTAACCATTTTACTTTGCACTTCAATTAAATCCTGAAACACTGCATAATCATTGGTGTGGTAATGCAGATTTATGGCGGGGTGTTCATGAACAATGTGCTCGGATTCACCGTTCTGTTATCGCTAATTTATTTCCGAGGAATCACCTGGGAATTTTCTGCTGAATTACTGGTTGTAGTAATCGTTTGTACTGTGATGGGTGTCATTGCGAGCTTTCGCTCCACCTTCCCTTTGTGGATATCAGTCATGGCGATTCTGCTATACCCTTTATCTCTGTTCCTTGTTTATCTTTTCAATGATGTTCTGAATTATGATTAACAGAAAATGAGCAAGCTTGGAGAATGCAGTTCGAGAATTTTGTTGCAGGTTTTTTTGCTTTGCTTATTGTATTTATTTGGCCAACTTGTACAGGATGGGCGGAGTCATGTTAAGGCCTGAGGTGGCCATGGCCACCCAAGCTTTTGAAAAAATTTTAAGTTTTTTGTAGATGATCTGCATGATATATGTAAAATGGATTAAATTATGGGTTATGGCCACCCAAAATTTTTGCAACAGTATAAATATATAGGGGTGCGTTTGGTTTATTATTTTAGATAAGATTTTAGGGATAGTATTAGGTTGTTGGATAGGGGAGTATTATAATGTAAACTTTAAAAATTTATGAAAAAGCCCTTATGTTTACTAATTTAATTAAATACCCTAATATCTAAAATGACAAAAACACCCCCACCACCTGTAGTGCCAGATTCTGGCCACCATCGCCGGAATCTAGCAGGAAAATTTCGTTACGACACAGACCGGTCGGATCTGTGCCGTAGCGTGTCGTTATGGCCTTTTCTGGCCAGATCTACGAATTGTTGTGACTGCGACGGCCAGAAATGGCTGAAACGACGGCCAAAGATATGGCCGTCGTTAACGGCAGATCTGGCCTTTTCCGGCCAGATCCATTGTGGATGTGATCGGAAAAGGCTAGATCTGGCTATTACTAGCAATTTTCGGTGGCTGTGTGACTATTGTGATAGATTTCAGCTACCATCGGTGGTTGTTGTCGGAATCTGGTAGGTATTGGTGGATGGAGGTGTTTTTGTTAGTTTTTAAACTTTTTTTTAGGGGGTATTTAATGAAATTAATAAACTTATAAAGTCTCAACATAATTAAAAAATAGACTAATATTTTGAGAATAACATGCCAAATTGTCTTTTAGATGAAGTGGCCCATTTTATCTTCATTTTTTATTTCTTATAACAATCAAGTCTTATTTAATAGGGGAGAGATTGAGAGAAGACAAAACTCTCCCACTTATTTTGAATTATAATATTAACTATTTTATATTATTTTAATTTCTCTAACTTTTTTTCATCGTTTCTCTAATTCTATTATCTGTGCTCTGCTGACTTGGAGTTGAAGAACAGGACTTAGAGGTGGGCAAGGCGCCCAGCCGGTCCCAGGTCGAGGCACTCAGGGGTCGGTCCCAAATTGGTTAGGACCGGCCTTGAGCCCATGACTTTTGTTAGAGCTGGGGACCGGTTCTTAGGTTTGGAAAATTTTAATGTAGTCCCCTAATTTTTTATATATTTCTAAATAAATATTTATGTGAGGTTTATGTAATTTATCAAAGGTAATTTGAAAATTATTAATTAATTAGTAAATAAATATAAATGAATGGTTATAAATTATAATAGTTTTAATTTAAAGAGATAATTTAATTTTAGTTTTGTAATGTGAAAAATTAATTTAAAATAGATAAAATAATAAATAATTAAAATGGATGAAATTGAATAATAAATAAATAAAAATAATAAATTGTACAATAGATAAAATTGAATAATGAATAAATATAAATAATAAATTGAATAATAGATGAAATTGAAGAGAGTTTGAGAATTAAAGTAGAGAGAATGAGAGTTGCAAGGAAAATTGGTGACCAATTAGGCATTATTATAGGTTAGGCTGACCGTTGAGCAATGGTCAATTTTTTTTTTTTTTTTTTTTTTTTTTGTTTTTTGTAAAAGTATAATTTAACTCTTAAATTTATTATGTATTTCTATATTATAAGGGGGTTTAGATGAGGATTTGGGTAAGGGGTGTTTGAAATTAACGGGGCCCGAGCAGGGACCAGCTGGGCCGGACCCTCTCCCTTGGGCTTGGTCGGTCCCGGACCAGTCCTATACGGATCGATCCTGAGACTGTTTTCGGGCCCAGGCCCACTTTTTGCGCAGCTCTAGAACAGGCAGTTTTGTCTTCTTCAATTCCTGTGCTGTGTCCTTTTTTTTTTTTTATGATTTTTTTGCAGTGTTTCTGTGTTTATTATGTGCTTAGCACCGGCTTTTTTTTTTTTAGTAGGCTGTTATAAAGGATTTACTCCTTGCCTCTTTTGTTTTTTTGCGGCTCTATCCCTGGTTCTTCCTAGGGTAAGGTGGGGAGTTTTTCCTTTTTAGTTGTTTCTTTATTTTTCATATAATACCAATTACCAAACAAAAAAAAAATATATTGTAATTATAATTTCTTTCTTTGCTCTTATATAGGTTAAGTTATAACACAAATTTTTGACATAATTTTACACAAAAATTTATATCCGTTGATTTAAGCCAATCCAATGGACTTAAAATGAAAGGTAACTCATAACTTTCTTTTACAATATCTAACTCTTAACTTTTTAGCCACTCAATTATAACAAATCGAAAGTTAATAATTTGTGTTAAATATTATGTTAAAATTTATGTGACAACAATAACCCATTATAATTTTTTTCCTTTTCCTATAATATTAAATTCTCACATTATTTTCTTAACTTATTTACCTCAGGGCTCACAGCACTTTTTTCAATTTCGATTAGTTGCATATGCAAACACTAATTTAAAGCTTCTTTCCTAACTTTTCAACTCTGATATCTACAAAGACAAGAACAAAATTAAATTTGGTATAATTTATTTTATATATTTAATTCTTTTTTGAATTCAAAATTATATTGTTATTTAATCCGGCCACCCAATGTTAAAATCCTGCTCCGTCCCTGAATTGTTACATATCTGCTGGCTGTTATGAAAAGCAAAGAAGAGAACATGTCGTATTGAATATTCTAAATTATTCCAAATAGTTTTCATAATGTTTTTGTTTTTTTAATGAATTACACATAGTGAAATTAAATAAGAGAATTCCTTCCAAGTATAATATAAGAGACTAATTATTGGAGAGAAATATATATATATATATATTATCTTTGTTGTTCTGTCTATTATGGTTTTGGTCTTACAGTTTCAAATACTAAAAATTACTTGGTGATTTTAACAGATGTCAATCAAAATTGTGAACTAAAATTGAAATGATAAAAATACCTCTAAATAGTATTTAAATATATAACTATTTAATTAAATCATTAAATAAATAATTTACTTAAATACAATTAATGAAATAAATGATTTCATAAATACAGGATTAAAAGAAAAATGAGCAATTAAATATTTGAAATTTTAATACTTCAATTATTAAATTATGTAAAAATTTAAAAAAAATAGTTTATTAGATATTTAACTAAGTAATTACAAATAATTATTTCAATATAACACGATACCATACAGTACTACTTAGGGGTGTTTTTGTCTTTTAAGTTTTAACTAACAGATTTTAAATTCTTAAATTAGTTTTAAGGGAGAGTTTCTTAATACAATAAATATTGGCTCACAAGTTATAACCCGATTTTACAAACTCTTTCTCACAATTCTGATGTGGCAGTTTGTAATCGGTCAGACAGAAAATTTATTAGAAACCAATTGTGACTATTATATTGGGGTTGTAAGAAAAAATTTATGAGATTGGACTGTAAATCTAGTATTGTCCTTCTTAATATTTGAAATAGCATAATTTAAACTCTGGCGGAAATAGATTTAATTCCTAATTATTGGGGATAATGAATAGCCACGTGTGGGTTAATTTGGGGTTTCTCTTCAGACCAAGGCCTAATGAACAACAGCAGTTAAAAAAGGGCCAGCCCACTGAAATCTCTCGTTATCTTAAAAGAAGTTACATGAAGAATCAAGAGAAAGGAGAGTGGCAATTATCTTAATAATAATCATGTTGAAGAGACATTTCACCATTCAGAAAATTACTTGGTACTTACTCCACCAACTGACGGGACATGCATAATTTTTTTAAAAAATATGCAATAAGATGACGATTTAATAAATATTTATATACTCATAATAGTGTATATTCTAACGGTTCACTTATAGTCTACTAATAATAGAGACATTTTTATTACTTCCAAAACTTCAAGAAGAGTTTTTGTTATTGCCGTAAACCTTACGGGGATGTTTGGTTCAGGAATATTAAATTATTAAGAATATTAGATTATGAGAAAGATAGATTACCTAAAAAGATTACTAGGAATCTTTAAGAAAATATATTTGATTAATTGGTAGGTATGTTTTACTAATATGTTTGGTTATGGGGAATAAATTAGTGGGCATATTATTTAAATTACTAAATTGTCCTCTTTTAAATATTAATATAATATTATTTTTATTATTAATTTTTGAATAATTTTTTTAACCCCCAATATTTCAAATTTAGCTAAAACACCCCACTTATATAAAACTTTAATTTATGACGAAATCACCCTCACCTATTGCCACCATCGCAAACCACCGTCGGAAGTCTCCAAAAGTCCATGTGAATACCTCACCGTGACCAAGAGGCTCTGATATGACCGTTTCTGGTCATATTGATGGTAAAAAATGGCCATATCAGACCAGATCTGGCCGTTAACGACCCTGGACCTAGCTGTTAACGGTCAGATCTATTCCGGCTAGATCTCGCCCAGACCTGGCCTGATATGGCCAAAAAGGGTCATATCGAAGCCTCCCGGAGTCTCCCATCAAATCTCGTTTTTTTTAGGGACTCTGGTGATTTTTCGATGGCGGCCCATGGTGGTTCGCCCGCTGTTGGCAATGGTGGCAGTGGTGGTGGTGGTTGGGTGGCAATGGTGATCTATAAATTATTTTAAATATAAAGATATTATTGTCCAAAAATTTAATTAAACAAGGATAAAATTAAAATAAAATATTAATATAAATTTGTTTTAAAGTATGAATATTATTGTCTAAAATTTTTATTAATAAGAAATAAAATTGAGTGGATTCAATTGAACCCATAAGTACGAGTGTGGTTATGTCCGTGTCTAAAGGGGTCTTATGCCGTCTAAAAGGTGGTCTTAGGCCGCATGGCGCGCATAGATTGAGAAGGCCCACAAGTCATAAACTTATTTTCTCGGGCAAAAAAAAAAAAAAAAAAAGCAATGATAGTATTTAAGGAATAAATGTCGGCTAACTTTGTGGTAATAGGTATGCTAATATAAAAGATGAAAGTGATGTCCAAAATGATTAAGCTTAAAATATTAGTAGGTAACTTTTAAATTGAATCCTCAAATTTCAAGAGTCAACTCTGAATAGGCAAATCGGAAATTGTAGAGATTTGAAATGACACCAACGAGAAC